CAAGCATACAAATGAGGGTAGCAGGGAGCAGCGGAGGGGGAGGTGCTGATCTCCTCTCTCTGGTGACCAGCGACAGGACAGGAGGAAATGGAATGAAGCTGTGTTGGGAAGTTCAGACTGGACATTAGGAAAAGGTTCTTCACTGAGAGGGTGGTCGCTCACCGCAACAGGCTCACCAGGGAAGTGGTCAAGGCACCAAGCCTGTCAGAGTTGAAGGAGTGTCTGGACGACGCTCTTAGTCATATGGTTCAGTTTTAGGTAGTCCTGCGAGGAGCAGGGAGTTGGACTCGATGATCCTTATGGGTCCCTTCCAACTCGAGATACTCTATAATTCTACGATTCTATGAATGGAAGATCCTGAAATGAAAATAAAAATATGACATTTAGATCCTTTAACAATTGCACTTTGGACTTGCTGTGATTTGAAATGGACATAGCAGGGGAAGTCTATTATTTGTAATAGCCCAGAATATTTCTTTTCCACACATGCCATATAAAATGGATTTCCCAGATGTTCAATGACCTACTTAGCCATAGATTTCTTTCACTCTGTTTCACTAAAAATAGCACTTGGCAGAAAACTCTAATACATTTAAATCAAAATGCTGCAGAACTTATATTAGTTTTGCTAGATTTTTTTTGTACACAGTCCTTCCAGGCCAAGGATGTGGACCTATTCATTCAAGCAGGGTCTCTTGTCTCCAGGGGCACAAACTTTCAGCACCATTGGTGAACACACTCTTCTCTCTCCCACCTTGAGGTCTGGCACAAAACAAAAACAAAAGTTGGATTTTCCCAGGGGACAGACATTCTTTTTTGAACAACTTTTCTCATCTCACAGAAACTGTTCCCTTCGGACCAGTCAGGGAAGTTGCTCAATCAAATCTGGAAGGGACTTTAATGAAGTATGTAGGGGCTTGGTGACTGGGAGGGTGTGTCAGACCACTGCAGGTATTGACAGAAAGTGGCTGAGTAGCATCATTTGGTGAACAGAAACCCATGCTCAGATCCAGATTAGAAAGGAATCTGGTGAAGGGTTTCTGGGATGAAACTGGAGTTTCAGCTGATAATCAAGGGATTTCCCACTCTGGAGCCTGAAGGAGAAAAGCTGCACTCTTAGCCTTTGCTTCGTAATATGATGGAAGAAAATCCACAGTGCTTCTCTTCCAATGGGACAGGATAGTTCCTATGATTTTGCTATATTACTTTTTCCCAAAGCACGCTGCAGCACTCTTTAAACACCAACTAGATATGAACAGCTTCTTTCCTGCTCTTTACAGCTCAGTGGCCCCAGACTGCAAATCATTTAATGTGGTTCCCCCTATACCTCAGAGTCTACTAACCTCTAAGATGTCCTGGAGCTTCAAACGATTCTTAGTTATCTCTGATTGAAAGCCCACAGTCCAGGAATCATCATCAGCACCTCCTTGGATAAAGTTTTTCAAACAGAAAGTATAGTCTGGAGAAATGGAAGCAAGATGACTAACCTGAGTTTATTCAGATACCAGACAAGCTCAGGGAACAAGACTTTTTAACCTCTGCCTTGTGCCCATGACACAGAGACAGCTTGGCCGTGGACAGGCCAGATGATGGAGGCTGTCCACTCCGTATTTGGAACAAATGCCATTCTCTCTGGGCATTTTTTTTTTCCCTCTCTTATCAGTGGAGGCCCCCTTCAGCCAGCCTTATCCCAGCAGCTGCATTTAGTCCCCTAGGACAAGGGAGAAGCACGCTATCTCCCATTCCCTCAGGAGAGACAGAAAGATGGTGTTTCTAAACAAGGGAGAATTTTCATACAGGTCTGGTTGCTAAGAGTCCCCTCCCCCTTCTCCTGCAATATCTGAACATCTTTTTTTGGATGCGACACTCAGTTGCTGAATGGTGATGGATATGCCCCCAAAGAAGCTGGGCAGGACACTGGGCACAGAAGCCAGCCTATCCCAGATTCACCCATGCACAAAGTTCACCAGTTCCCCCCTTCCCAGTCCCACAAAGCACGGGAAACCTTGCCTTCAGTTTCCATGACAGCAATGGTTACTTCTGCCAAGCTCACAAGGTTTTGCAGACCTTGGCGGATTTTTTCATCTTCTGTGTAATAAAGCCGTGCTACATATATGTCTATGTTCACATTTGAGTTCTTCTTTAAGAAATTCAGTATTTTACGGCAGCAGTCTGCACAAGGGCTCCAGGACAAGTACCAGGTGATGGAACAGTTGACATAATTATAGGATCTTCTCATCTTAAAGATCTTCTCCAGGAAGTAGACTTCAGCATGGTAACGCTCATTTTTGACCCAGTGTATCCAAGGTGTGCCGGTCTCACCCCACTGCAGTTTGCATAGTAGATATGCATCCCGTGGAGCCTTACGGGGGTCAAAATGATGCTTTAACACCTTCTTAGATATATACATGCTGAAACAGACAAGAAATTTCAAGGAATCACTGGTTACAACTTTGTTTTCAGTAGTTCTCCAGTACACAAAAAAGGGGGAGGATGGACGAAACAAGAGGAGAACTGAGAAGGGCAAAACAGGAGACAGCAATGCAAGGAAAATGGAGAGGTAGGCACCACGGCAGGGTAGAGGAACCAAACCCTGAACCCCCTAATCCTCCCTTTGCTTGCCACTGCATGCAGAACTTTCGCGTCCTCACCCCTCCCTATGGCTGTCCTCTTCCTCATCAGCATGAGTATTTCTAAAAGCTTTCTACACCTTTTTATGTGTCAGACATTTTTCCAGGGCTCTTATGTAGCCCTTTTCAATGTAGGGAGCCATTGCGAATTTTGTAAAAACTAAAAAAATAAAAGAAAGAAAAGAAAACCACTGATAAATTACGAAGCTGAGTATTTCTCCTTACTGGATTCTCTTGCTGTTTATATTTTCATAAGGATTAGCACAGTCAGCACAATCCTACATGAGAGAAGGAAAAAGAAGTGCTCTATACAAAAAGATGCAGCTCCCAAGAATGACATTTTTCTGACAGATAGTCCATCTCTTAGATCCAGATCTATTCAGTTCAGAACAGACCTCTAAATATTGTCAATTAAGTAACTATACAAAGACTGCCAGTGTTAGTCGTGAATGTATCCTTTATATCAGTAATTATCCATGATACATAAATAATATATGAAGTCACCATTAGCACTTTGTAGCCTTCGTACAATTGCTTTATATAGAGATTTATATGAGAATGCACTTCAGATATATATTTTTCCACATTAGAGTAACTCAGAATAAATCTAGTAGACAACTAGACAGACTCTTAACAGAGAAGCAATAAGCCTGTAGATTGTTTTATAGCATCCACCAATAACAAAAAACCCCACTACCTGAACTAAGGACAAATGAAACCTTGAAGATCAAGCAACTGTCACATATTCTCTAGCTGCAGGACTCATCACCTATGTAAAAAAGCATCTCATTTATCTGAGTCAGTCAGAAGGCTTTGTCTTCTTACCCTGTCTCCTTCCTCATCCCAGCCTCCTACACATTAAAATACATATGTACATAA